TTTATAGTTTATGTGAAATTTATAAATATCAATTATATATACATTAATAATGTCAGATATAAAATTCATACTATTACAGGAGCTAATTAAGTTCCTGGTTGTACTTCATCTTTGAGGGCTATTTATTTCCTAGCACTGCTCCTAGTATTAGTTGATATGTCTCTCAAATGATTCAAACTTAGAAGCATGTAGGAGGAAATGCTTGGAGCCGTAACCTCTTCAGGGGGTGGCTTAGTGAGAAAACATACCTGACACCCAAAGTTCAGGAAGGAAAGGTTTATTTCTTACAGTTCTTGGAGGTTTCAGTCCATGCTCAGTTGGCTCCAAGTGGCAAGGTGGCATGGTGGGTTACCATTCATGGCTGGCTACAAACAGCAAGGCGTGAACCGGCAAGAGAGAGAGACACACTTTCTTCCCTTCCTTACCTTGTATCCTGGCTCCACCCCTAGGCGGGTGTAGCACTCACACCACCAGTCTGAGCCCTAGACAATGAACCAATCACAAACACATAATTGTATGAGGCTTGGGGCCACTGACATAAACCATGTCAGAGGAGCTTGAAGCAAAGGTCCAAGGGGACCAAATTCCAGCATCCCACCAGCACTATGTGAGCCCCAGAATTTCTGTTTAATTTCAGACCTGGCAGCCTGCCTCTGCCAGTCCCCACGCCTTGTTCTATAATTACATACTGTATTGTTAACTAAAGTCTGAGACTTCTAGGCTTCCCACTTGGTGGCTCCTCCTTTTTTTATGTCCTATATCTCCAAATCTCATTGCCCCAGACCTGAGCTCTGACATCTCTCTCCTCTGCCCAGTTGGACCTGGAGGACCTGCTTGGTCCACATCCCTGCACCAAAGCTGGCACACATGTCCAGAAAAAAAGATGTGAGGCTTACCTCCTATCTTCTCTATCTCCATACCCCTGTCAAAATTCTGTCCAGTGCATACCCATAGCTGCTTAAATTTTATAGTTGTTGTCACAGGAGGAAACATCCTCTATCATCCTTTGCTCAGCACCTGAATTTCCTTCTTTGCAGGGCTGTACATACACTGAAGCAAAATCTGTCCCCAGCAAGCCCTGCTCATCCTTCACAGGACTTTCTTCTGGGAACCCACCTTCCCCCCTGCTCTGAAAACAAGGATCTGTTGTTCCCTGAGCTGGAGCAAAGCTGTCTATGAGCAGACAGAGATTCAAATGCTTGGCTCCTTTATGAGGAGGCCTCTTCTCACTTGAGCTCCTGTCCTCTTCCTCTGCGTAGGGGTGCCAAAAGGACAGGGACACATGCCCTTTATGTCTATGCTCAGAGGAGGGATGAGTGGACACTCATGCCCACTTCAGCAGCTGCTGGTGAGCATGGCGTCTATTGTAACTGGGACATTAACCAGTCTTCCCTGTGTTGTGTTGGTGTCCAGCCTCTGAGCAGAGAAGGCAGAAAGTCACACCCATCCTTGTTGCTAAATCAGTTCTCTGGGTGCCCCTCCCCTACTGGGAGATTTCATTCCCTTGCTTGCATCACGCATCCCCTCCAATCCCCGCCCCCATGTGGTCCACATTGTTAACTGGCACCCTAGGAACCAGGGAGAAGGAAAAAAACTGACACATCCACCAGGCTCTGAGCTGGTCAGTGAATTAGACCCTGTCCATCACCTTCAAAGCTTTGGAATGTTTTTCCCACCCAGATAGTCAGACTTTGATGTTCCTGGTTCAGAGCTGGGAAAGAAGTCTTTTGCTTTCATTCTGAGTCATTCATTATGCATATATAATGCTCTCCCTATCATTTAAAAGGAATGCAGATCATATGTAAATTGCCTTAGTGCGATTGTATATCCAAACCTGCATAATTAATTTCATGATAGAGACATCATGCAGTTACTGGTCCCTCAATGTTTTCATAAAAAGCAGGTAAATTATTCCTGTATATATTTTCTGTGCTGAGTCCAGTCCTCAGGACTAGGTCTCAGGGTCAGGCTTTGTACTAAGAGAATGCTGGTTGAGTTTGAGGGACTTTAAGATCATCTCATTCAACTCATGCTGGTACTGACAAGCTCACTATCTGTGGCGCATCCTATTCTTTCTTTGAACAAACCATTAAAGAAGTTTCAGTTTACCAGCAAGGATGTCCTGAAAAGCAGTATGGAGTTTGTTTATCTTTCATTTCCAAATTCCTCTGTGTTCTATTAACATCGTAACTTACAAACATTCAAGTTGGGAACTTTCACAGAGACAAACAGACCTCATCAAAAGGTAGTTTTTTATGCTTTACATTGTATCTTTGTGTTAAAGGTGTATAAGAGCCTCTTTGTTGGGCTTGCAAATAAACCCAACTTATGAACATTGTCCTGCATTAGAACTCATGCATAAGTCAAGGATTTGCTCTACTAGCTCCCCACAATGAATGCAGTCATTGCAAACATGTACTACTGAAGCTTTTAAAATGTTTTCTTCACATTGTCAAACAATCTTAAAATTTTGTACATAGGGCCAGGGATTTAGCTCAGTCGTGTCAGTGCCTGCCTGGCAAGTGTGAGGTCCTGAGTTTGATCCCTGGTTTTCCTGTAAACATGTTTACACATTTATAAATACTCTACCACATTAGATGTGTGTTCTATAGTTACCATTTCACTAAATAATATGTATCTTTTCATTTCAACTAATCTACATCTCCTTCCTCATTTTCAGGGCTTACATCATCCTCTCCTGTTATATGGACCATAATTTACTTAATAATGCCTCCCAGTGACATTTAAATTGTTTCCCAGTTTATCCTCTAGTGATCAATACCAGGATGACATCTTCACACAAAATGATTATTTTCCTGGAGAGATTCGGCGATGGGCGTAAAGGGTCAAGGGACACGAACATGCTAGAAGACCATTCCTGATAAAGACAGTGGCCGCCTGGGAGGAAGAAAACACTGGTAAGTCCCCAGAGCTGTGCAGTCCGTCACCAGCACTGTCTCCTGTGTATTCCGTGCCACCCCTCCTTCCCTCCTCACCCACAGGGTCCCCCATCCTCCCTGCTCTCTGAGGGTGGCGTGGGCTGGCCAGGTGTTTCTGCTCTGGCCACCACATACATAAGGTAGCCTATGGAAAGGCTCCTTTCTGGCAATAACAACATCCCCTGAAACACTGCAAACTGGGAAAGAACTGAGCTCAGAAAGCAAAATTTACACCATCCGAGAGTGCTATAACTGGTCTTCTCAGGCACCAAGGGGCTTTGTCCATCTCTAGATCAGCAAAGAGGGAAAAAAGTAGCCCACGGCAAATGAAGGATAGGATAGAAGGGAAAAAAAGAGAGGAGACCAGAAAAATTGTAATTTTAAAACTGTACTTGTAAGAAAACTACAGATTTGGAACACAAAGTTACCCAAGGTGCCAATGCAGTTTTTTCAACCCATGCCTTTTTCCTTCCAAGCTGGTCCCTCCTATCTTCCCAAGAATTTTAAAAGATACGGTAAGTTGATAAATAGGGCCGTGGCTTTCTCCTGTAAATTGAGCTGTGAATTTGATTTTCTGTATGTACTACAGACTCACAAATTTCATAGACCTCCACCCCAGAGGATACAGCACCATTAATTAGGAACCACAACTCTAAACTTCAAACACATGCAAATGTTTTGCATTCTAAGTAGCTCACTGAGGGACAGCCTGACACACACCATGAATGCACATCTTAGATCATGCCTTCTGATGGCACCCCCAAGACCATAGAAATATGTACCCTGAAACCCAGACCCTAAGGTACCTCACTCCCATTCAAATACCCATGCTCTCGCGTGTATACTTCTTTGATTCTGCTTAAATCTATCTATGCTTCTCATTAACAAATGCTTTTCTGTGGTGAGAATCTTCAAACTTCCTTCATGGGAGAAGAGGATGAGTCATGGTCCCCATCTCCTCTCTGGGGAGACCTCCTAGCACTCTGTCAGGTGACAGAGGAAAAAGTACAAAAAGGCTCCCATAAAGCCTAGTCTGCTAGCTCCTCTCACCATCCAAAGGTGTCACCTGGCCACACATCAAATTCCAACAAGCAGGATCCCTCCCTGCAGGGCCAGGGTGCGTGATTATCTGACCACAAGAATCTGCATCTTTCTAACATGCTTTGTCCACTAAGCCACAGGTACATGGCCACTTGTGCACAGGACTTCATAAGAGTATTTCCTGTAGCAACAAAAGGATGTTAAATAACTTCAATGTTGTGCGCCTAAACACTACGCAAAGTTAAAATGCTCCAGGTCACTTTACATGAACTCCAAAACATATCACCTTTCGTATGGTCGACAAAGTCAGTGTTGACCATAGCATAGGCCATGGCTTAATGTAACATTAACAAACACACAAAGCCAATCGGGGGAGCCTAATTTCAGCGATGATAAGAAGCAGGGAAACCACGTATGTGAGCTATTATAACACAAGTGCAGAGTAGGGTGTAGCTCTGGAACTCCGCGAGCACGTGTTAAAAGTGGGTGAAGGACCACACAGTCATTCATGATTTTACAAGCCAGAAAGGATTCCCAAAACCCTGACAGCAAGAGTGGCTTCTGTAACAAGTCAGGATGGTGGGATTAGGACACAAAGTGAAAGAGAAACGCTCTTTTTCAACATTCATCTGTTTGTACAATCTGACATTTAAAACCATACATTATTAGCTTTTAAAAATAAAACACTGAACGCAATGCAAAATAAAATCATGCATCTTTCTGGGAGGATTAAGAGGCAAAATTGGAGCCAGTCTTGGATTTGAAGACCGGGACATCCAATCTTGACTCCTCTTAACGATCTCGGGCAAGTTCCCACGGACACTGGATCTGTGTCCCGAAGAGCCCAAGCTGTCGTGGGCGAGCTGGTCTGGCGACATCGTCCTAGGGCTCCGCGAAGGTCCCGGGCAGCAGCCGGCGGGCACCCCGCGGTGCAGCCCCGGCCAATCAGCGGCCACGGGGCGGGCGCGGTGGCGGCGCCGCACTCTCGGAGGAGAATGCGGAGCAGAGGCGCCACGGCCGTTTTGGAGCAAGTCATGCCGCGCTCGCCGTCGCTCCTCCCGCTGCTGCTGCTGCTGCTGCTGCCCGGGCTGGTCCCCGGCCTCGGGCTCCGCGGCGCAGGCGTGCGGCGCTCCGACTGCGGCCCGTGCCTGCCCGAGCGCTGCCCTGCGCCCGCGCGGTGTCCCGCGCCCGGGATCGTGGCGCGCGACGAGTGCGGCTGCTGCGCGCACTGTGTGGGCGACGAGGGCGCGAGCTGCGGGGGCCCGGCCGGCGCGCGCTGCGGGCCCGGGCTGGTGTGCGCGAGCCGGGCCGCGGGGGCGGCGCCCGAGGGCACCGGGCTCTGCGTGTGTGCGCAGCGCGGCGCGGTCTGCGGCTCCGACGGCCGCACCTACCCCAGCGTCTGCGCGCTGCGTCTGCGCGCCCGGTACCTGCCCCACGCGCACCCCGGCCACCTGCACAAGGCACGCGATGGCCCCTGCCAGTTTGGTGAGTTGGGTTGGGGCTGTGGAGGACTTTGGCGGGCCAGGAAAGCGGAACCTCAGTCCCCTGGGGGGTGGGGTGGATGATGTTCCTTAGCCACGGTGCCCTTGAACCTCAGTATCCCCTTTGGATCAGTTTTTCTCATTATCCGAGTGTGCAGGGAGAATGGGGTGGGAATCCACATCTTGCGTGCTCTGAATCAAGCTCATAGAGATAAGAGCCCTGGAGCTTAGCACAGTTCTGGTGAGCCTGCTCACCCTTTGGTGCTTACCGTGGTACCTGCAGATTCAGTTCTGTGCCACTGTGGCAGTTTGGTCCAGGGAAGCAGGGGGTTATGGAAAGGATTCCCTTTGGGTCTGAATGTCCAAGTGCCTTGGTTCCAGGTGGGTTGCTTGCATGGAGAGAAAAAGAAGGCGAGGCTCTCTGGAGAGCGGGAGCTCCACATGGGGACTCAGGAGTCACTAGGCTGGAGCACAGGCCCCCAAGTGTAGGGTGAAGCCCAGCTGAGGGTCCTACTCGAGCTCCCTTCCAAACAGGTGTGATCTTTGGAGACTTAGGCTCTAAAAAGATTAGGTGCCATCAGGAGCAAACTTGGGTTTTATAGGGCTAAGGGAATACATAAGCAGAGGACCAGCCTGCTTTAAGGAAGGGAATAGCAAACTGAATTGCTAGGGACATAAAAATGTAAACAGCATCACAGTGCAGGCATCCCGGGGTGCCTCAGTTGCCTATGTTTTCTGTGCAGTTTTCAAAGAACAAAACAGTATAAAGGATGTCGGGCAAAGCACCCTACTTTGCTAGCCTGTTGGGCTCAGTGTAGAGACGACCTCCCCTTAGGTTTTAAAACAACCTGTCTACTCTGCTAGAGGGTGAATGAATGGCTGGCAAATTTGTGGCCTGGGCTTCAGGCTGCTGAGAAGGAATTCTGTCCTGGGCTTGAAGACCTAGTCCAAACTAAATGTCAATGTTAGTATAATGACTTCAGTTAAAAGAGAAAAAAAAAAAAAAAAAAAAAAAAAAAAAAGCTGGGTGCAGGGATAGGGGTGGGGTGGGTTCCAGGCCTTAAGAAATATCCAGTATTGTGTTACTCCTCTCATCCTGCACCCTAACCCATTACCCCAGGAACAAGGTATCAGGTCCATTGTTGGAGATGAGCCAGGAAGTCTTCTGTCCCAGGAGACAAAGATGATGTATGGTCCATTGAGAAGCTGAAGCAGCCAGCTCTTGTGCATGGGAAGGTCACCACTGGCTTTTCCTGGCTGGGGCTCCCAGTAGAGGACAAAGCTGGTTCAGGGCACTTCTGAGCTGCTTCCGGGCTCCTTGAGTGACCCTGGGCTTAACCCCGCCCCCATCCCTCTGGCTGTGTGAGCTCCTGTAGAGTCATTGTTGAGGTCCCTTCCATTCTGAATGCTTTTTTTCTGCCTAGTGGCACTTACACAGTCTTTTTCTTTGTATCTATCGCTGGATCTTACAATCTGCTTTTGTCAGCATTTAGTTCACAGGCAGTTCCCTTTGTCTGCAGACAGGTAACACTAACTCCACACACAGGAGACGTAAGAATTGCTGACCAGGTTCCCAGAATCTACATGGTGCGGATGCTCTCAGATAATTTCTCCCTAGAGGGGTATTCTGCTTCTAGGAGAAAGACATTGCAAAGATGCATGGGCCAAATCCGCTATTATGAAGAGAAGGAAACAGAGCCCCAGGGAGGACAGGGGACTTGTCCAGGATGTCCAGTGAAGGTTGGACAGCTTCCATATCCCCATATCTATATCCTGGATCCCCATATCCTGTCTGTGCTGTTTCAGAACAGGACTTGATAGTATTAAGTCAGGCAGATGGTGGTTGCCATGGTTACCAAAGTAAGGACAGATGGCAGATGGAAACCCCATACCCCTAATTCACTGAAAATTACCAAATGACAAGTAAATGTGACAGCCCCTCAACTCTGATCTATGGGCTCTGAGACCCACCCCAGACTCAGGCCCCAGGAATAAAGAGACACTCAAGGCTGGCTTTTCCTGACCTCATTAGTGACAGGCGTCAGATCTCCTGAGCTCAGCTGTCCTTCCCACCAGCATTTGTGTCATCACCTGAGAACTGGCCCCGTTTCCCTGTCACCTTCTGTCTTCATGTGCTTGTGTGACCCCTGCCCTTGTGTCCTGGTAGAGCATGAAGGTGTGGACAGGGAGATGTTTCCTAGCCACTTGGCACCTCATTCCGTGCTGCCCTAAAGCCATCTTTAATTCAGAAGACACAGCAGGAGCACATTTTAACAATGCCCCTGGGGACTCTGCTTGAAGGAAAACAGAGCAGGGCTGTTCTGCTAGGATATCGGTGATAAAATCCCCCCTCCGCAGCTCCTGCACAGCTTCTTCCGCACCCCAGTCCCTGGATGTTAGGGAAAGAAGACCCCCATGGATAGTGATGAGGTCGTCCCAGTGAGGAGAAGCAGTTTTACACATGCCCCTGGCCCCCTGAGGGACAGCGTGAAAGGTTTTAGGTCTTAGACTTAAATGCTGCTTGTTTCTCCTGTGCTCTAACACACCCCAAGCTGCCTGGTAGTGGCAGTAATCCTGTGTCTCACACACACACACACACACACTGAATAAACCTTACTGTTAGATTTTCCTTTGCCTCTGTCTTCTCCTCTGGTTTTTGTAGTTATCCCATCCCCATCCCATTTAACAGAAAGGAAAGTGGGAACACTGAGAAAGGGAATTCTCTTAGGCCACCCTCTAGTCTCAGCCCAGATGGGACCCCAGCCTGGGTTTTCCTGGCTCTTCGTAGAATGTTGAGCCCCAGCAGCCCCAGTGAGCTCTCAATACCCTGAGTCTTAGAAAATTCACCTTGGTTGAAATTTCAGCTCTACTTAGAGACCTGAGGCGTGTGTTACCAGGTAACCAGAAGAGGCAGCAAATGCTACTTTGTCAAAGGGACAAAGAAGGAGCCGTGAGCTCAAAAGCCTTTCATGCTGAGGGAGGGGATTTGAAGTGCAGGCTGCAGGGAACAGGATTAAGCTGTTTCTCATTCTTCGTGGTATTGCGACTATTAGCATAAATTATCTGGGCTGTTCGTTACGTTGATTATTAAACTCTTTGGTTGTGTGCTTCAGACGGGGTCCTGTGGGATGACTTCTGATATTCTTTCTTTGCCGAGCACCATTTACTTTAAAGAAATCGCACAGGCATTTGTGGAGATCTTTCATTCCAGCTATTAAGGACCCATTTAATCGGCAGGGTAGGGACAGATCACCATACAGGATCGTATGTATACGGAAGTGGTTAGCACCCCCTCCGTGATCTAAGGATCTCCCACAAGGTCCTGCCTCCTAAAGGTCCCACCACCTCCCAGTCCCACCATCCTGAGGACTGGTCCTTTTACACGTGGACCTTTAGAGGACACTGACCTAACAGCATTGCCAAATACCCGCTCACTTTCCAGGAGCCTGAATTGTGGTCGTAGTGGGCACCTATGTGACCAGCCCCCTGTTAATACACTGAGTACTGAGCCCTCATGAGCCTCCAGGTGGACAGCATTTCACATGCACTGTCTCTGTTGATGGCTGGGCTCTGTATGACTCTACTGGGATAGGTTCGTGGAAGCTCACCGTAGTCTTCCTCTTTGTTTGATGCCTAGTGCTGATATGAGTCATAGCCATGAGTGTAACCATGAGTTCTAAGTCCTCCAGCAAATCTTTGAATCTGAGGATCCTCTTGCAAACCCCTGACACAATCCCTCAGAACTAACCTCTTATTCTGGGATGGGGTCCACACAGATATTAAATGACTCACTTTAAAGAGTTGTGTGGAAGTTTGTAGAACCAGAAAGGGAGCTGGCTTTGAGTTTCCACCGGCCAGTCCTTCACCTTGCTGAGCCTTGCTGTCCTCATCTGTAAAATGTCTTGCCTCACAGGACTGATTCGAGAATGGCAGGGGTAGGAAGGGTACACTGAGGAAAAGAAAGATGGCATTGGGGCAGGGTAAGAGAGTGGGGGTTCTGGAAACAGATACAAGGTTCATGGCTGTGACCCAGCATTCAAGGCCTGGCAGCCATTCCAGGCTCCCCCATAGCACAGCTGGTAAGACTGCTGGAAAGACAGGGATTCTCCAACCTTGTCAGTGGATGAGGGCTTAGCACAGGCAAACGTGACATTATCACCATTGCTGTTACGAATACTATTGACTGTGAAGAACTGTTTCAGATAAAAATGTTTTAAATTTAAAATCAGATGTGCTAAAGTGAAAAGCAGTCATTATGACAAAGTGCAGCCTGAGGACATTTCTGGAGATAATTATTCCGTGTCTGGGCGTTGGTGATAGTTACATGACTCTATGCATTTGTCAAAACTTATAACTGGAATATAGCTCAGCAGTGTAAGTGCTCACCTGGCAAGCGCAAGGTTGTGAGTTCGATTCCCAATATCAATTAAAAAAAAAAAAAGAAGAAGAAACACTTAGAATTGCACATCTGAAAGAATGACTAGTCCTGTGTGCAGATTTACAAATAAAATTGTGATGCGTCTCTTTGACACTGAAAGCATCTCTTTTGTAAAAGACATGGTATTTCCTGCTGTGAAATCAGTGGCAAAGGCAGTATTTCCGAGACTCCTCCTTAATTGCAGGTATTGAAAGAGAGGGTAAGGGGAACAGGCTCGAGGAAGAGGAAATGTGATTTACTGGTTTATTCGCTTAGATCTGAAAGAGAGTGATGAAATCTCATTTAAAATTTATGACTTTACATGAATGAAAGTGAAACCCGGTGACTGAAGGTCCCTTTGGAGTCCACTGAGGGCTCTGACGGGGGTTCTGGCACAGGGAACCATTTGAGGGCTGTTTGGGCTGTGGTGGGAGCGACATCACGGTGCCCATGTGGCTGGGAGGCGCTGGAGGGGATGTGAATAAATTAGCCTCCCTCTGTCATCACAGATGGGGCTGCTGCCAGAGCCGGAGTGCCAGGTTCTTTGTAGCAGTGGGGAACGTTAGGTATGTCAGAGTGCGGATCTGTGGGGGCTTTGGATACGGGCTGGCAGTGTCCTTTGCAGGGCAGCCCTGTGGGCACAGCGGAAGCAGTGGGCTAAGCAGGCACGGGGAGAGGCGGCCTGGAATGGTTGGGCCAGTCCTTATATTCACCTCCAAGGAGAAGCAAGGCTCTCAGGAGATGTGGGCTCCAAAGAGCAGCCCTGGAATCTGCAGGTGGCAGTTGCTGAGACAGCTTTTCACTCAGGATGAAGATAAGATTTCTTACCAGCGGAGCCCTCCAAAGATGGAGTGGCCTGTGAGCTCTCCGTCATTGGAGGCATGGAGGTGAAGTCTGGATGGGTCTGTCAGACAGTCAGGCGCAGGATCCTGGGGAGCTGGGATGCTGTCTCCAGCTTAAGACTCTTAAAGTGGCCTAAGATAATTCCCAGGGAATACACACACACACACACACACACTCCCCCAGCCTGACGGGCTCTGCCTCCCAGACTGTCTGTGGGAGCCAGACTAACCTTCCTGCACCCTTCTACTCCTGTGTCTTACAGTCAGTCCTGGCCCTCCCCGCCCCCATTCCCCATCCTCATCTTCCTCCCTTTGGGCTCCTTTTTTTTATTACAGCCTTGGCAGATGAGAGGGTGAGGGCCCTTCCCCTCTCAGGACAGGCCTGAGAAGAGCAGCAAGTCTTTCCCTGAGTCACCCGGCAAAGCCCCAAGAGTCCTGAGCCTGTAGTGTGATGGCCCTGAAAGAATACCTTTGTTCTTTCATTGGCCGTGTGTTTCCCCATATAGCTGTCTATTCACTAGACCTGTTTCCGAGCCCAGCCCGCACTTGCACATCAGGTAGTCAAGCCATTACTTTCTCACTGGCAGTGGTTGGGCCCCCGCACAGCCCTGGGGAGGAGGTATGTGATCCCCAGCGTCCAGCCGAGGAGGCCTGAACTGAGAGCACTTCCGTGGCCAGACCTCCACCTTGCACCTTGGATGTCAGCGTGGCTGAACTTGCTGTTCACCGCAGGTGAGATCAGGTAGGCTCACCTAGTCTACAAGGCTGGCCATGACTCCGCAGGTCAAAGAGGTGCAGAGTCCCTGACCCACGTAGTGGTTGCTTAGCTAGGCCTGCTGGGTGGACTTGAGTGTCACCGCTGGGTGTGAACAGAGCAGATGCCAAGCGTGGAAGAAGGCAGAGTGTGTATTGTGAGTTTTTTGGGTTTGTTTGCTTTTGTATGGTCTCAATACTGGAAGGCTGAACTCGAGGCATTCACATTGAGCTACATCTCCAGGCCTTGTTATTTTTTTTTAATTTTGAGACGGAGTCTCATTAAGTCACTGAGCTGCCCAGGCTCAGTTTGAACCCACTGGCCTGCTGCAGCCTTCAGGAGTGCTGGGATGGCAGGTGTGTCACCACTCCCTTGCGATGAGCTGAGTTTCTGACTCGGACTCCCAGGTCTCCTCCATGTTCCCTTGTTCCTCTCTCTGCTTCCTACAGTGCCTGCTACCCTAGAGCTGCATTCAGAGTCACAGAAGCTCAGCCCCCCTCTCCCTGCACAGGTTCCTAGGTCTCCTTGGGAGTGGAGCGAGTGTGGCATGCTGTGTGCATACTCAGACCGTCATGTCCAGGATGTACCAAGGGGCTCCGTTACAAGGTGCAGGCAGCTAGGGGCTGGGGATTTAGCTCAGCGGCATAAGCACCTGCCTTGCAAGCAGTTAGTCATGAGTTTGATCCGTAGTACCGATAAAAAGAAAAAAAAGTATAAAATAAACAAGGTGCAGGCAGCGTCTGTGTGGTGTCCTGCTGCTGTGGTTTGAAACACAGCACACAGTCGCATAGAAACTCTTGTTTTTGAAGTGTCTGTTGTTGGTGACTTGGTGATGGCCCAGTAGGAAGCCACCAGTGTCCTGTTACTGAGCTGTACACAGATGGCAGCTGGGGTCCAGAAGGTGCCTATAGAGGGAGTGTGTGAGACCAGAGCTCTGACCTTGACCTTGAGAATGGCCTGGCTTTTCAAGACCCATTTTCCTGGTGGTACAGCAATGGCCGTGGGTCAGGAAATAGGTTGGCTTCCTTTCAGCTGTGAAGCCACCAACCTCGGCAATCCCTTACACAGGAATATTTCCCCTCCGTTGAGGAATCTCTGCACCCCTCAGTGCAGGGGTATAAAGGCCCTCAGCAGCCAGGGCAGTGTTGGAGGCAGGTAGCTGGGGACCTGCCTAAAGCCCCCCTGTTCCCCTGTCCTCTTCTTACAGCTCCAGTGATCGCCTTGCCACCGCGGAGTGCTCACAATGTCACCGGGGCACAGGTTTACTTGTCCTGTGAGGTGAGGGCGGTGCCTGCCCCGGTCATTACATGGAGGAAGGTATCTCTCTCCAGGAACCCTTATCTGTGTGTGTCTGGCGGGGGACATGTGCATGCACACTGAGTGAGGCACAGACAGACACAGAGAAACAGACAGATGCGGGTGGTAAATATTTTTCCTGTACATGTGTTTGTGTGTAACTCTGGGCCAGAAGATTACAAAAGAAGCCATACACACCACTCCTCTGTCTCAAAACTTTTACCCCAGAAGAGGGACAGGTACAGCCTGGCCTGTGCCATCAGCTGCTGGGACCTGGGAACCCCAGCTTCACAGTGGAACTGAGTTGTAAACTGAGTCCGCTCAGAGCAGAAGACTCAGTCATGATGTTTGTTGTCCCTACGGCTCAATAGCCCTGACAAGGGCCACTAAAGTCTGAACTGCTTCTGCCAGATGGTGGCAACGTTAGTATCCTTGCTGTCCAGCAGGGGGTGCTGCTTGTACACCCATTTAGGTTTCTGAGGCACCTGGCGTTATTTGCATGTGAAGGAAAGGTGCTCGGGTTTCAGCCTTGGTGTCACTGGGAAGATGCGGTGGCAAGAGGATTAGAAATACTTGTTTTAAGTGCCTGATGGTTTCTCTCCTGTAGATCACACACTCTCCTGAGGGCATCGAGGTCCTGGAGGAGTTACCAGGGGACCACGTTAATATAGCTGTCCAGGTGCGAGGGGGCCCTTCTGACCACGAGGCCACAGCCTGGATTTTGGTGAGTTTTTCAGGTTACCTGATGTTACTGACCGACTTGATGAGCCTCCTTTGTCTTTCTGTGAGATGTGACAGTCCTCAAAGCTCTTCCTGTTCGTCTCACAGGCTTTCCAGTGTCTGGCAGACTGTGTAACCCTGAGAGCACAGGGATCTACTGTAAAGTCCCTCACAAGACATCCATGTCCCACTGTTCAGAGCCTGCCAGTGGCAGAGGAGATTAAAGTTGTTGAAGAGCTGGTTTTAGGGTAGAGAAAGTAACCTGGTTTCCCAGGTGGGCCCAGTTTTATAAGGGTGAGCGTAAATGAGGAGGAGGGAGGCAGAGAGGCAGGTAGGGTGATGTAAAAAGACCTCCACCCACCACTGCTGGTCTGGCGCTGGAGGAAGGGGCCGTGAGCCAAGGAGCACTGGCGCATTGGTCAGCTTTCCATGGCTGGTCACGGTGTCTGACACCTCCAGCTTACAGGAGGAGAGGATTATTTTGGCTCAAGTTTGCAGGGTTTCAGTCCATGATCAATTGGCCCTAGCACAGAAATGCCATGGCAGAAGGGCAGAACAGAAGGATGTGGTAGCCGGGAAGCAGAGCACAGGGAATAGACACCAGTGTGGAAGGGCCAGGGACCACATATGATCCCTGTTGTCACATCCCACTCATGAGATTGGTGCCTCACTCCCCAGTCACCTCTCTTAATCAAGTCGAGTTGAAAGTCTTTTTTTTTTGGAGCCGGGATACTGGGATTGAATCTGGTGTCTTAACACTGAGCTATGTCCCTAACCCTTTTTGTTTATTTTTTATTATTTTTGGTACCGGGAATCAAACTCATGACCTTGCACTTGCCAGACAGGTGCTTATGCCGCTGAGCTAAATCCCTAGCCTTTTAGCCCTTTTTAAAAAAAATATTTATTTATTTATTTTAAATTTTGAGCCAGGGTCTCACTAAACTTCCCGGGAAGATCTCAAAACTTGAGATCCTTCTGCCGTAGCCTCCCAAGGTGCTGGAATTAAGGCATGTGCTACCATGCCTCAGTGACAATCAATATTAATGAGCACAACTGTCTGCTAGAAACTGGACCAGGCCAGGCAACAGATTATACCCCAGAGCCATAGGGATGCTGCTGCACCTTGATTTTAATCTTGTGAGGTCCATTTGGGCTTCTGACCTCCAGAGCTATAGATGACAAATTTGCATTTTAAACCACTAAGTTGGAAAGGTTTTGTTACTGTAGCCACAAGACACTAATCCACCTAAAATGACATAGCTGGTGAAGAGGAAAGAGATAGGAAAGATCCCCTCCAGGGTTGTTATACCATTCGTAGCATTTTTGCTAAAAAATAATAAAAATAAAAAAGGGATGCCAAGTATTTGGAAAAGTGACAGAATAGGGATATAGGGATGCTCTCCAGGGATGTCTTCCTCAGTTTCTCCACAGCTCTGGAAAGTTTAGTGATGATTCTCTACCCAGCTGAAGGACTTGGAATGCAGTTGGGCCCATGACCTTTTCAAGTGAAGCACATTTCCTCATTTTTGCCCAAGAAGGCATGAGAAGTGAACTCTGGTGTTGTTTATAAGGGCTGCTTCCATAGGGAACAATTTACAGGTCTTCTTTAGTCAATAGAGTTTTGTTTTTTTAATTGGCAGTGTTTTTCTCAAAATCTATGCTGTCCCCTTCAATGAAAAGACCAGGCAGCTAGAGTGGAAGGCAGAAATGCAGGGGAATTGTTCTAGTGAAATAAGGAACATGCCCTTCAGGAAGGGTCCCCAAGAAGGACATTTCACTGGCAGTCAAGGCAAGAAGACAAATGGGAGCTGGCTTTATCCTGAAAGGAGGAGTGACTGGCTGTATCATTAAGAACTAAATGCGAAGCTCATTTGTGTGTGTGCGCTGCATGTAACTGTGTAAATGTGCCTGCTGTGTACCTAGATCAGTCCCCTGAAGAAGGAAGACGAGGGCGTGTACCAGTGCCACGCAGCCAACGTGCTTGGGGAAGCCGTGGCGCATGGCACAGTGATGGTCCTAGATCTGAGCAGATACAAAAGTCCCCGCTCCCCAGCTCCAGCCGGCCGCCTGTGATGGATGAAGGTACCTGTTTGGGCCATTTCATTATTTCTGTCCCTGTGTCCTGAGAGTTTTGAGGTGGCTGACTACATGTGCAATGAGAGGAGAAATAGGTAAGTGGGGAGAGAAGGGAGAGCTGGGCCACGTGAAAGGGAGCAGGTGGAACCTCTGCTGGGCTCTGCACATGCTTCTCTGACCTTCCGGCTTGCACAGTCAGGGGCTGGGAACATGGGCGTCCATAGGATGGAAAAGCCGGTAGTGTTTTTCTGTTTCTGAGGCTGGAAGAATACTTCCTCCAGGCCCAAGAGGTGGCAGACAGTGTTGCTGTGACAGCATCCACGTGGAAACCTTCCTGCAGAGAAGCCCAGTGTGCTTCCTGTGTCCTGTCCTAGGACGGCTCTTGCCCCACCTTTCTGTCCACTGCCCAGTGTGCTGCTTAGCAACATGTCTCAGGGGATACAGGGCAGGATCCAAACAGCCTCAGTCCTCTCAGTCGCACAGGTGGCACTGGGATCTTTATCCATCCAGGCATTGCTGGTTCTTAACCATAAATGTTTATCTCTTGCTCACACTCCCTGCCACTGCTGTGGGCTGGCTGTGGGTCTGCTCTGATCTCTCCTCATTTGAGACCCACTTGGAGCAGTGTGGATGTGGCAGAAGGGATGAATAAGAGGCCAAAACAAGTGTACAGTCTCCCTGGAGGCCTGACTCAGATTTACGTAATATACATCATTGTCGTATTTACCTATCGTTCCCTGGCCAACACAAGCCTCAGACCACACCAGGATGGATGGTTCTGGGCATTGTGTGATCCTCTCACTGGGGACAAAAATCAGGGTTGCAGGATTCTCACAGAGGGGTGGGAGGAGCAGGCCTGACCAGGGACCATCACCAAGGCTGACCAACAAGTTTTTAAGAGAGCAGGAAAAATTAGAAACAGGAATTTCTTAAGAGCAGAAGGATGTTGCTATCATTCTAATCAAGCATAACTTTGTGGCCACTATGATGGCACATCTTCTGTGTGCAAGGCCTCTCTTCAGGTCTGTATGGGACACACAGAACAACACAAGGTGAGCATCACTGGAACGCAAGGACCACAGTGCTACGGGAATGAAGGAGGGTGTCGGTCCGAGGCAGGAGAAGCTCCTAGAACTGGGGAAAACGAGGGCAGGAAGTGGCATTGGGGCTAAAAGACAAGTATCTGCGGGTCTTCAGAGGTCATAGAAATGGGGAAAAGTGTGAACCTGTAAAACTGTAAGATAGAATTCGGCAGAGAGTTAGGAAATCGGATTATAAAGTTTTCTCCCTAATACTTGACTTTTTTGATTTGTGTAAACGTATGTTATTATATGTATTATTTTATATAACATATTTTACCTATATTATTATGTATTCAGATGTTGAGTTCCTTGTAAAACATGCAGGATTGGCCAGCTTTTGCTTGCATGCCTCCAGGAACACAGAGCTCACTACCATCAGACAACCACCTTGGCCTTTCCTAATAGTTGAAAAGTCCCTCCTGTCTGAAATCTCCATCCACTGGTCTTGCATGTTCTTCTTGGGCCCCTGCAGGCCCTCTCCACTCCTCCCTGGCACCATTTCTTGCAAAGAAATATTTGAGTTTCAGGATCATCTTCCATTTAACACACAGCGGATTGTGATGGAGCAGGTTTCTTTCCTCTAATTATTTCCCCTGTTTCTTCCTAGGGTCTTAGAGACACTGATCACAGGATATCAAAGAAGTCAAGTACTGGATCTTTTTGCTTTGTGAAGACTTGGGAAAACTGTGTTTGTAGATGACCTCTTTTGTATGTTTTTTAAAAAATGGATGTGAACTAGATTCATATGCAGACGTAGTTTTTAGCAGAACAAACACTGGGAAAACAGATGTACATGTAGCTTTTTATACTTCTTGGAATGACTGCTCCATGTGAATTCTTTTTTAACTATTCCCTCACAGGGAGATCCCGTACTGGTATGTTTGTAATTCTAAAGGGCTCAAAACAAGTTGTGTATCAGCTGCGGCTCATACCCATCACTGGTTAGGGGCTTCTCTGTGACTTAGTTTGTGTTGTAAAGGAGAGAGGAAGGTCCCGGCATTCCTCAGCCTGATTCTTGCTTGCTGTGTGACCTTACAGATCTCTTCCCCTCTCTGGGCCTTGGTGCTTCACCTGTGATTGTGGCATTTGGACTGGTGTCACCAGAATCCCTTTTAGTCCTGCCATCCTAGATAGAGTAAGGTAGCCCTGTACAAAAGTACAGGAAGTCTGCTCTTAGCATTCTTTTTAAAATGGTCTTCCCTCAAAGACAAATTATCACCTCATACCCAGGGTATGAACAGCAGGTATGGCTTTTCTATTCCTACCTCCCCCCCAGTTTAAGATTTAGTCCCTGATGGACAGCCTTAGGTTGGGGTTTGGGGACCACACCATCTCCTGTTACCCCAGCACTCTGCAGGTGGGCAGTGAGATCTGGCTTCTGGACGTCACAGCACGGAAGGGGATGGGAGGGGTTAGGTGTGACCCCTGGGCCGTTGAGTCACCGTATAGTACAGTGCGTTCTATCTGTGGAGTTTGACCTCACCCAAGAATAAGGCTTTCTCCCTTTTTTAGTGGAGAAAGGAGAATATTTACTATCGGGTGGATCTCCGGTGATTAGAAGTTCTTCCTGTTAGTCCTTACAGTGAACAAAGCACTGTCCCATCCATGAACCCAGCCCCAGGAGGGTGGGCACCACAGGAATCGGTGTCCTGCCCTTGTTACGGATGAAGAAACTAGACTCTGGGAGGGAAATTCCTTGTCTAAGTCTAGAGTTCCCTGAGCAGCGACCCTGGTTACTTCCTGCTCCATGGTGCTTTTCCCCCATCCTTTTAAGGGTGACCTTAAAAGCAGGGAAGGATGCTGCCAGCATGCCTGGCCAGGTTTTAAAGTTCAGGTTTTAAAAAACACCCTCACACTTCTCAAGTTGACCATTATGTAGGTACTTGTTAGAATTGAACTTCATGGTCTTTAAATGTGGCCATTCATTATCCAAAATATCTGAAGGGTATGAGTCTCGTGTACTCCCCAGCAGAATGGCCAACCTGGAAGTCTGGAAACATGAGGTCCCTGGCTTGCTGTGAGACTGTGGCAGGTCCCCTTCACTCCCTGGGCCTCTGAACCCTCATCTGAATAGGAAGGGAATGGAACTAGACAAAGGATTTTCAAACTTGTTATTTATTTATTTAGGTACCGGGGATCTAACTTAAGACCTTGTGCTTGCCAGATAGGCTTAGGCCAGTGAGCTAAATCCCCGGCCCCAATTTTCAAATGTTAAAACATTAGAGTCCCTTCTTTGAGTAACATGAGAATTGAAATTGAAAGCTGTCCCCAGCTATTGGTGGTTGGGGCTGCATCTGAGAGTCTGCCTGCACTTCCCCTATAATTTGAATGATTCGGAGATGACTGAGACACTTCAGCTGTGTCAGAAGGAATGGCGATACCGGGGCACGGAAGAAGGTAGTGAACAGCATCTGTAAGAAGCGCGTTCGAGGAGGGCTGGGGACTTAGCTCAGCGGGACGAGGGCCTGCCTGGCATGGCGACATTATGAGTTCGATCCCCGGTACAAAAAGAGACTATTTAGAAGAAGCACATTCTGTGAAACCAGTCAAGTCATGTCAGATCTGCCTTGGTGGCAATAAGGTGCTTTAACATCACTGTTTAAACCATGGTTTTTTAAATTGAGTGTTCCAGGGCCTCTTTGAAGGCCAAAAATTTGTACTGAGCTGCTAGTATCATTTAGAAGCATGATCCACCCCCACCCCTCAAAGCCTGTGTTTTTTCTACCCTATTTTCATAAATGCTGTGATGCTGGTCCTAAAAATAAATGTTTTGAAGGATGGTCTTTGTGGTCTCTCTTGGGAATGTTGCTGTGGGCGGGGCTTCTTTATCATTTGCTGTGCATCCAGACCTTTCACTGTTGACATCAACATCTTAGTAAAACCTCTCACACCTGGGCTGGAACTGCCTGTACAATTTGTCCCCGCAAGCCTTTCTGCAGTACTAGGAACTGAACATGCTAGGTAAGGGCTCTACCACTGGGCTACATCTTTGGTCCTTTTTATTTTTACTTTGAGACAGAATCTCACTAAGTTGCCCTGGCTGACCTCAAATTTGCAATCATTCTGCTTCAGCCTCTGGAGTAACTGGCTTACTTGCAATTTTTAAATTTATTTTTATTTATTGTGTTTATTTTATTTTAAAGAATAAAATAAAATAAAACAGAATAAAGCTATTCAGAGCAGAACAATAAAAGTAATACCAGAAGGAGCTGGGGATTTAGCTCAGCGGCATAAGTTCCTGCCTTGCAAGCATGCAGTCTTGAGTTCAATCCCCAGTACCAAAAAAAAAAGTGATACAGGACTTCAAAATCAAATAGGAAATCAGGAATGGGTACCTCAATATCTCTTGTTTTCTTCAAATCGTCTGTCCATACCATCAGACATAATAATATCAAACAAAATGAAACAAACCCAATCAAAAGAATGAAAACATTATAGGACTTCAAAACAAGATAATATGAAACCAACAGTAGCTACCATGATACATGTTGTTATCTTCAAAATAGCTGCCCAAACCATCAGACACAATAAAATCAAACAAAACAAGACAGAATAAAACCAAACTATGAAAGCAATACAGAAAATCAAAACAAGATAATAGGAAATTAACAGTGGTTACCACTCTCCCTTTCTAGACATTTTCTCCCCTCTCACTTTTATAGTATCTATTGTACATTTTGGATCCCACTAACATCTTCAGTTTTTTACATTAGACGATAACATGATGTTCCTCCATGTGAGTCTGAACCATTTCACCCATCAGCATGATCTCAAGGTGCATCTACAGGATCCTCGAGATTGTCCTTTATAGCTGAGGAGCTTTCTCTTGTAGGAAAAAACTGTATCTTTCTCATTCATTCTGTGGCTGATGGGCAAGCTACTCCTGCTTTTTTCTAGTTTCCTGTTACATGGAACATTGTTTCTCTCCTTTGACTTTTGGTCTGTGAATTTCTTTTTGAGTTAAATGTGTCTCTTGTATACATCATATTGATGGATCTTGTTTCATGATCCACTCTGCCTGTGCTTCTTTTGATTGGTGAACTGAGGCCATCTACATTAATCATTACAATCAAGATGCATTGGCTTGTTTCTTGCTGTTGGCTCCCACTTTTCCCCCTTTGTTCCCCTTTGCCTGCCCTGTTTGGCAGTCCCCCTCTGCTGCTATTCCTGGAACCGTGGTCATCTTTATCTCTGTAGAATATCTTTCAGAGCTCTTTGTAGGGTTGATTTGGTGGTAATGAATGCCATCAGTTTTTTTTTTTTTTATCATGGAAGTATCATATTTTACTATCAGTTTTGAAAGATAGCATCAGTCTGGGTTGGAAGTTGTTTTCTTTCAGAATTTGAAACACTTCACTCCAGGCTCTTCTTGATTTGATGGTTTGTGTTGAGAAGTCTGCCGTGATTCTGATGGTCCTTCCTTTATAGGTGATCTGTTTCTTTTCTCTAACAGCCTTTAATATTCTGTTCTTGCACTGAATTTCTGGGATCTTGATTATTATATGTCTGGTTATAGTTTTGTTTTGGTAATGGCTAGATGGAGTTCTATATGCTTCACTGGGCTGTATGTCAGGTCCTTTTCCTATGCTTGCGAAGTTCTCTACTATTGCTTCTGTAAATTGTCTCTTTATGTCATGTGTGTTGACTCCTGCTTTTTTGCTGACACCTATCAGTCTTAAATTATTTTTCTTTGCATTGTCTTGCAGCCATTGAATTGTTATATCCTGGTTCCTCATTATTTTTAGGAGATCTTTTCATTCATGAGCACTAATTACAATCCTGTCTTTAAGATCTAAAAGTTTATCTTCAGTCGCTTTCAAGCAATTTTGCCAGCTTTCAATGAAGTTTTAAATTCCCTGGATATCTCTTTGAATCTGTTTCATGCATTGTAATTCCTTTCTATATTGTTAATTCAAGGTTTCTGTCATTTTCCTATGCTCTTTTTTTTAATCTATGTCTTCTTTAGACATGCTTAGCAATTCTTTCATTATGTTTGTGATTTCTTCTTTTACCTAAGACAATATTTCTGATTTGATTACTCTTACAGCCTCATGAAGTTGTTTCCTTACTTCAGTTTCTATCCTTTCAGAGATTTCAGGTGAGTGACTTCCATTTTTTTCCATGTCTCTATCTCCCAGACTTATTCTGTGTGGGCTGACATCTGAGATTACCTTTTGCTCCTTTGTCTTGACATTCTCCTGGGTTCCCAACAAGCATGTTCCTAGGCACCTCCCACATTGGCTGCCCCTTTGCAGTGTAGGAGAATGGGCTAGGCACCTGGGTTTCTCTGTACCCAGGCTCCAGGGAGGCAGTGAGGTGGGGGGCAAGCCTCTCCAGACCTGCAGGGCTACACTGTGACTTCCTGATGGCCACAGGCTCGATGGCAGGGCTGCTTCTCTCAGCCCGCATGGCTACACAGGAACCAGCCCCCAATGGTGGTAGGTCCCCAGGGGCATGTCCACGAGGTTCTCCCAGCCCACGCTGGTTGCCCACAGGAAGCAAGTGCTTCTGATGGCCCGTGGGTATGCAGAGTGTATCTGGCTGTTCTCCCTGTCCATGCTGTTACCTGATGGCACTGGGGCGAGTCTGGCTGCTTCTCTGCCCACACCCGCTGCCTGCAGAAGGCAAGACTTCTAATGGTAGTGGGTGTGCAGGGGCCAATCTGGCCATTTCTCATTTGCAATTTTTTACTAGCCCTGATCATTTTATACTACTGCCAGCCTGATCCTTCTGAGATCCCATTGTACCAGCATTCTAGTGTTTTATGCACTCACTGATGCACACTCTGTCATCTCTGACACACACATTGAATGGCAGGTAGAAGAAAGGTACGAGATGCCAGGTGGGGAGGGAGTATTGTGGTGTCAGCAGGGTGCAGTGCACCAAGGGCCTCCTTTAAGCTGGGCTCGGTGGGTGCCCAGTAAGGGATTTTGAGAGACAATCCTCATAACTTTTATTACAACATCATAATCATTTTATTTTATTATTGTTAATTCTTACTGTGCTTGATTTATAAATTAGACTTTTTCATATGTTGATATAGGAAAAAACATAACACATACAGTGTTTGGCTCCACAGGTTGTGGACAAACCTTTAATGGTAAGAGCCCCAGTGATTCTAAAGTCAGTGTTCATGTATCCAGCTTTTACCTTAAACCAAAAAAGGGTTGATTTTTTTTTTTTTTATGTCAAGGTGTATTTTTTTTCCTTTAGGCTCTATGGTGAAGCTAATTCCTGTGTCTTTACAAAAACATTGCCTTCCCCACCTCCTGAGGGATGGATGACATAAGAAAAATGAATAAGAACAGGAGAATCACTCAGTAGTGAACACTCTCCTCTAATGAATTTCCTCACTCTCAGTCTTGCTGAGGCTCTTGATCATTAAATCACAGAGTGGTTATCCTGTGGTATTTTAATTAAGGAACCACAGCACTCTAGTGTCTTCAGCTTAATGAATTGAGAACTTGGAGCCCATTGCCCAGTGCATAATCCCATACTGGCTCCGCCTCTCCTGCAGTAAGAGCTCCTTTTTGGTCAGGCCTGCCTTTGACTCAGCCTCAATGGCCTCCAGGACACAAAGTCACCTGTGTCTCTGTCACTGTCTGCTGGGGAGCAGTGGCAGGTAGAGGCCTCTGTTATCTGTGCATAAGCCAGCTTGTCACACATTTGCAGAGTACCTGCGTGCATAGGCATTGCATAGGTCAGTCTAATGTCTGGTACACAGAGCTGCTTGTGGTGCCACATATGGACTGTCTGTGTGCTACTGAGAGGTCTCACAGTGGGCACTTGGGTATAATGGCCAGTAGTTTTGGAGCTGGAGGGCCTAGAGCCAAGGTCAAGTGCTATCACTGCCTATGGGTATGGGTCACTTGCATTGACTCTGAGACTCTCTTTCCTCAATGTCCCAGAAGGTGAACATCATTGCCCTGACCTGCTGTGCTAAGCGAAAGGTCACACACTGTCCACTCTGCAGGAGATTGCAGAGGGCAAGGAAAGAAAGCAAAACTGTGCGAGAGATTGTCAAGTAGGACAAAAAAATTAGACCCATTTCATGATGGAGCTGCCATAGGATAAAACCAAGTGACAAGAGGATGCTGTGATCTCAAGGGGCCAGAGGGGAGTTGGGAAGATCAAAGGCCTTGAAGAAGGTGGGTCTTAGCCAGGGCCTAAGAAAGTGGATTGAACCTGGAGATAAATGAACCGAGGAGAAAGAAGCAACATGAGCAAGGCTAGATGTCAGGGACCCACAAGAGGACGGCACTGCATGCACGTCCTTGTGAGAAACCTTCACCGTCACACACTCCTGCCTGAAGTGGGACAAACATGGCAGCAGTGGCAGCACACTGTCCACCGGCCACCTGGATCCCTCCACAGTATTGTGATGTCCCATCAACACCTGAGTCCAGCTTTTCTTTGCACTGACAGTACTGGGTCAAGCTATATTGCCAACGAAATGTAATAGAGCTGTTGGACTCCATTGGGAGGCTGGGGCTTTGTAAGAAATCACTGTGCCTTTTCTGTCCTTTCCGCCCCACCGTGCAGCTAACATGTAGTCTCTGAGATCCCAGGCAGGGGTTTTTAACCTGCACCATGGATCTCTTAGAATTCTACAGATGAATTCATGGGTTCTATGAATCCCCTGAAAGAATGTCATGTTCTATGATAGGTGCATGTGTGCATTTTAGTCTGGTGAAAAAGTCTACTGCTTTCACTAGCTTCTCACAGAAGCATGTCACATATAGTAAGAACTATTGTAGATGGATGGAAGGAAACTGCCGCTGAATCTCCATGTGGGAGAAAATGTCAGCCAAGTTCTTGTATTTGATGATTATGCAAGCAAAAAATAAGCCATTGTTGTTTTAAACCCCTCAGACTTATGGGTTCACTCACAGCAGCTCTCATTACATTAATTCACATGGGGAGAATGCGTGCCTGGCAGCCGAGAGACCTTAATTCAGGCCACACTCTGGCCTCACTGAGCCTGTGACGTTGGGCAGTTACTCTCTCTGGTGAGATGAGGTGCGGGTGAGAGAGGCTCTCAAAAGCTTCTTGAGGTTCTTGGGGTGAAGGACCATGAGAAGATAAGAAAATAAAGAAGAGACAAAGCTGGGGTCAGGGGGAGCCCTTACTCTCCTGAAGGGAGGAAAGGAACTGCTCAACCACTGTAGCACATTTGTTTATTCCCTGCAAAGGACAAGGTCAATTTCAAGCCTGCTGCCTAGCTACTTGTTCGCCTGGCTGGCCTGGCCCCTGGCCTTCTCGGTGCTGGAACAGCTTGTTTGAAGCTCTCTGTGTTTTTAGGGTTGGTCTTGCTTTAGCCCCGCCCGTGATCAATCTCCAGCTTCAATGGCTCCCCACATCCTAGCGTAACTCCCAGCACTAGTGTGCACACTGCTGTGGCTTCAGGGGTGAGCGGCGCTCTCACCCCTCAGCAGCCCGACTCCTGTCCCTAGCTACTCCACAGAGACTGCTGCAGTCAAGGGACACCCCTCACTCAGTGTGCCCTTCCTTGATCTCTTGGGAGCATATGATTTCCTTCCCTTCAGGAAGTCCACCTTCCACGATTCCCCCCTCGTTCTGCTTCTATTCCTGAGACTGCTTTTGTCTCGAGCCCCTTTAGGATCCTGCCCGCCTTGCCATGGGCATTCTCAAGGTCAAGCTCTCTTTGCTCCCCCCAAAACCCATTCCCAACACCCTTGCCCAGTAAGCCTTTCAAGTTCACATTGCAACCCTGTTCAGAACCCCTCAGTGGCTCCTGTCTCATTCGCAGTGAAGTCCCAATCGATCTGCACAGTGCCTTCAAGCAAGCTGTACATCCTGCTACTGCCCTGTCTGTATCTGCCCCTTGGCTGCTGAAACCTGGCTTCCTGTGTCCTTTGTGCCCCCAGGCATGCTCGAGCCTTCATCATCTCCAGTAAGACCATCTCTGATTTCTTGATTGAAAATCACAGCCTCTGACCCACTCCCCTGACACTTCCTATTCCCCTTCCCAGCAGGATTTTTCTCCATTATATCTTTAACTGACTCAGCACAGTCAGTCTCTGGATCTGAAGGTCACTCAACCAACGATGGTTTGAAAATATTAGGGAAAAAATGGCAACTGTACCAAACATACACAGACTCTTTTTCTTGTCTTTATTCACTGAACAATACGCTGTCCTCTTCTGTCAGTTTGTCTGTCACCACTGACTGATGCCCACCTTCTGGCTTTCCAGAACCGCCCACTACTCCCACCACACCCAGCTTAGGCCAGAATCATAGTAGGCATGCGCAGCAGTGTCCAGCTCAAGGTGACCCCCTCAGTTCACCCTCGATGTGGAAGCAGACTACCTTTAGAAACTGAGGGTGACCCTACCCCTTTTTCTGTAAGACGCTCAAAGTTCTCCTGTCTTAGTTGCTTTCTTGTTGCTGAGACATAATACCCAAAATCTGCAAGTTAAAGGAAGAGAAGTTTGTTTTGGCAGTTTCAGCCCATGATCAGCAGGCTCGAACACTGCACGGCATGGAAGGGCCTGGGTGGAGGAAAGCTACTTATGTCATGGTGGAAAGGACACAGTGAGCAAAGGAGGCATTAACTGGGCGTGGTGGCATATGCCTGTGATCCCAGCATTTGGAAGGCTGAGGCAGGAGGACTGCTACAAATTTGAGACCAGCCTGGGCTACAAAGTGAGTTCAAAGCCAGCCTGCACCGCATAGTACAACCTCAAAAAGACCAACAAAAAAAAAAAAGGAGATGCTGGGAGGGAGATATATGAGGCCCCGGGGGGTATTCCAGATTTAAACCATAATGCTTTCCATTACAAAACTTCCTAGCAGGGCCTCAGCCCTTTGCAGCACAGCCCCTGCCTGCCCTCCCACCTTGCCTCTCCCTAGGGAACAGACTGCCATCTCTGCTCCTTTGTGTCTCTCTACCTGGTCCTGTTCTGTCCAACAGGATGTCCCACTCATGTACAACCTTGTCCAGGGCTGATCCAGGTGTCCTAGAAGACAGCAGCCTGGAGGAGAGAAGGGCCCCAATTACCAGCTGAGCATCTCCAGGGCTCCATGCTTATCAAGTGTAAAAACCACAAGACTTGGTAAGTATTGTCAAGTAACTGGTTTGGGGAAGTTGAGAACATTAAACGAGATGGTACACTGTGGATGTTTAATAGATGCTCCTTCCTCTAGTACCTCATGTGCTCTATACTTCTATTTATCGTTGCACTTTTACCCTGTTCTGCAATCACCTCTCATGGTAGACTGTAAGCTCCCACAGGGCAGCCTTTCTTGCTCCTTTGTCTTTCCCTCAACAATCAGCCTAGAGTAAACCACCCCACTCCCATCCTCGGCCCCCAGGGAATGTTACCCGAACAAATTAATTCAAAGGGTGACCACCAGAGGTCAGTCTCATACCCAGAAAGGAGCCAGTACAAATTAAAGTTCCTAAGTGGCCTCAGATCCAATCAAGAAAGTAAGTTTCAGCTGCAGCCCTGCTCAGTCAGTCTAGACATGGGGTATACTGGGCTTGCTTGGCGTCACTGTGGGTTGTTTGGTTCTTTGAACTAGACAGGCTCCTCAGTATGTCCCTCTCTCTGGCCTCTGCAGCACGCTCATGAGAACCAGACCCCAAACAAACTGCCTTCTAAACCTCTTGGCTTCCAAATCCTCATCTGGAGAGGGAAAAATGAGTCACTCCACTCTTGTTTCCAGTAGTGTTATAAGGCTTTAGTGGTGTGTAAAGCTGCCTGGCACTGCACACTGAATTGCAGTGAAAGACTTTCAGTGGGATGAATGGCCCGGAGCTGTAGCATCTGGGGTACCACTTTGAGTGTTGCCCGTCGTGCCTGGACTGCATGATGACATCTAGTGAAACCTCTCCACACACGGGTTTGCATTCAGAGACAATTTCAGTAGTTTTGAGTTTTACTGTGTTTGCGTGCAACGTGAATGGAAAGGTGTTCAAGGCCTGAGCTGATTATTAATCTCATTTATCTGAATCTTCAGTGTCAGAATTTTAAGGCTCAAGATAAGGGACCTTAAAGATTCTCCATTCCCAATGGAGGACCCGTAGGGGAATACCTTCTACAAAGTTCCTCTCTGGTATAGAATTAGCAAGTATTAGATAAGGCAAGGACCGGTCAACACACTGTGGTGGTGATGTTAGCATTACACATGCCCACCCACTCCTCTACTCGCGTGTCCCACGCCTGTCTGTCCACAGGAAGCTCCACTATTGTGCATCAGAGCTGCTCACAGTCTGCAACAGACAGAGCTGGAAGCTGCATTTCAGAAGGGTCTGTGTCACTTCAGCCTTAGACAAGTGGCATAGGAAGGTGACCCCAGGAAAAGAGATAGGGGAACCTAGCAGATCCTAAACTCTCAAGAAAGTTTCAGGTCAAACAATGCACAAAATCATATTGATGCAAGGATATTCAAGTGGTGACCAGTGTGCACGCAGTAGAACAGATGGATTTAACCAGAGGGTGGTTTGTAAGCAACATGGTTTAGGAGGAAAGAGAAAGACAGGCTCAGCATTCTGCTTCTGAGCTTGCCTGACTGGCTTGGGTTTCACTTGACCTTCAACACAAAGAAAGCAGCAAGATTAACAAGACAATGAACACTGATGTTTTCAATTTAGAGACCCCCAACATGTCAGATGTTGGGCTTGTCTTGAGGGGTGCTGTGGTTTCATAGAGATTGGAGTGAAAATGTAAGTGGAAGCCTAGAAATGAGACGGACTTGCTCTGGGTGGGAACCAGAGCTATTCTCTACTGGTGTTAAATTTGCACTTTGTCATTAGCCAAGAGAAAGTGAAAACAAGAGTGGAAATGTTAGGACTTTTGTACCTGGCTGGGGGCTGACTAGATAATTACATGGGTCCCTACCACACTCAAACTCTTAAAATGTGTAGCAGCAAGAAAATATTGAGACAAAATGGATTTGCAAACAGAATGTATTCAGTTTAACTTTTAAATAAAATTAATTACATACCACAATTAAGGGGTAACTTGACACTTTAATACATTTGCAAATTTGTACAATCATCGCTTCTGTTCAATTCCAGAATATTTTCAAAATCTCCCCCTAAAAGTTTCCACACCCATGAGCAGTTAGTGCCCCTTTTTCCTTCTCAGCCTCCTTCAGTCACTAATGTGCTTTCTAGTTCTATAGATTTGCCTAATCTGGAGATTTCATATGAAGGCGAACACACAATAGGTGGCCTTGTATCTGTGGTTTCTTTCACATAATATGATATCTTCAAAAGAATAATATGATGTTCTCAAAAGAAGTACTTCATTCTTCCTTCTGTGGTGAACAGTTTGAAGAAATATTCCATGCAAACCTCCTATTTATCCACTCAATAGCTGACAGACATTTGGGGTGTTTGAGTTTATTTTGAAGGCATGGTTATAGATTTGCGTCCTTTGCCTACTCTATCTTTCAAATTAAAGAAAAACAGTAGCAAAATGAAGGACAAGCAAACAAAATGCCCAACAATTGGTACTTTGAAGAAAAAAAGAGCTTTGGTTTTCCAGTTAAGTTCATAAAGATTAGGACCAAGATTTGCTGTCCACTTAGTTCAGAATTCCCAATACCTTTCAATCCTGTGATGGAGCTGAGACCGTCCACACAAAGCCACTGAATTAATCTGCTAGAAAGTCCCTGGACCTGCAGGAATGACTGAAAGTGATTGTCCACCTAGTCAATGGTTTTTATTTGGTCTTCCAGAGACTCTTAAGATTCCACAGAAGTAAATCAAGTGCCACCAAGTGGGTAGGGGTTGTGGAGCAGGTGGGTAGCGCTCTGATTGGTTGGGGTTCCCTTGCATTTGGAACATCCATGCCTAAAAGGAAATCCATGCCTAAAACTCATTTGGCATGGTCCAGCTGGTTGTGAAATTCCTGGAGCTGTTCTCATGAGTTTTTCTGAGGAACCTTGATGGTGACTGTCTTCACCTCTGTGTAGGCTTGAAGCCCATCTTCCCCCAACTCCCTCCCATTGCCGGATTCCTTAAAGCCTCCAAATGGCGTGTGGCAGGTCACAATGTTATAGGTGTTCACCCACACAGTCCCCGCTTGGAGTGCCTGGGTGAAGTACATGGCCTTATCCAGGTCCCGAGTGAACATGGCAGCGGCCAGACCATACCTGGTGCTGCTGGCCCTCTCAATCACCACTTCAATCTTCTTGAACTTGAACAGGCCCAAAGATCTCCTCCTGAGCAATCCTTATGTCATCCTGCATCCCCGCAAAGACCGTCAGCTTGAAGAAACCTTGCTTCCTGAAGCCCACCACAAAGCAGCTGTACCCCCTCCTTCTGGCCAAGATACAGCCCAGGATTCGTTCAAACTGCTCCTTGTCCACCTGGGGACCTTGTTGGGTATCTGGTTCAAAGGCGCTTCCAACTTTCCTCTGCTTGGCCTTCTCCACAACTCTCTTGAGAAATTCATCATAGATAGATTCCTCAATGAAGGAAGCAGCAGCACTGGCCCATGTTGAAGAAGACAGCTTCATGACACTGGTCCACGGCATGGTCCACGTTAGCATCAGCCAGCACAATGCTGGGGCTCTTCCCACCCAGCTTCAGGGTGACTCTCTTGAGATTGGAATCGCCCACCACTTTCTGGATCAGGTGGCCCTCCTCAGTGGAGCCAGTGAAGGCGACTTTACCAACATCCATGTGCCGGGTGATGGCTGTTCCTGCCGTGGGGCCATAGCCCGTGATGACATTCACCACTCCAGGGGAAAAGCCAGCCTCTTTGACAAGGGAGGCCAAGTACAAGGCAGAAAGAGGGGTCTGCTCAGCGACCTTCGTCACCACAGTGCTACTTGTGTCGAGCGCTGGGGCAAGCTTGCAGCCCTACATCACCAAGGGGAAGTTCCATGGGATTATCTGGCCACAGGCACCCACAGGCTCATGGCAGGTAAAGCAGAAATGCTCCTCATCCATGGGGATGGTCTTGCCATGCCACTTGTCAGCCCAGCCAGCAAAGTAGCGATATACCTTGATGACCTCATCCAGGTCCAAGGCATAAAACTCTTGGAAAGGCTTCCCGTTGTCCAAGGTCTCCAGGGAGGCCAAGTAGACCTGATCCCACTCTACCAAGTCAGCCAGCCTGTTCAAGAGCCGGCCCGCTCTGAGGCATCCATCCGGCACCACGGTGACCCCAGCGGAAGGCCTCCCGGGCTGCTTTCACGGCCAGGTCCACATCAGCCTGGTCCCCATTAGCCACAAGCCCGATGACCTCTGCTGTGGTGGGGTTGACAGTGGGAAAGGTCTTCTTGCTGACTGTAACATTGTCGATGAACAGCTGGCTATAGTGGACGTCCAGGTTCGGGATGGAGTTGGGGAGGGCTGCCGCTGAGGAGTACTGAATGGTCCTGCCTCAGAGGCAGAGCAGACGCAGCACCAGGAACTCAGACATTCTGACTCAACTCTAAAAATACACATTGTAGGGGGCTGGGAATTTAGCTCAGCAGCATAAACACCTGCCTTGCAAGCACGTGGTCATGAGTTCGATCCCCGGTACTGATGAAAAAAACCCAAAACACCACACTGTAAGGGGTCTGATTCCATCATGTTCCCGAATTCTGTGGTTTCCCTCCCACACCTCTTCTGGGTCTTTGCTCAAATGTTGTCTCTTCAGCAAGGCCTTCCCTGTGACACTGCATCTCTTCTCGTCCAATAGGCTCTCTCCCAAGCACCCCAACTTTGTATTCCTCCAGCTCACACTCTAAATACTGTGTTTACATGTGTGTATGTTTACTGTCTGTCTCCTTCCAGTCACTGTAAGTGCCATGAGGGCAGGCAGGGGGTTTTGACTGATCTTTGTTTTATTCATTGCTATGTCCCTGACACTGGAATTATGTCTGCCACAGCATAGTTACTCAAAAGTTAGAATCAATAATACACTGAGGGAACACCCAGATGTTCACAAAGGCCACTGAGGGACTGACCTAAAACCTGCGTAGAAACCAAGGGCACTTGGAGACAGTTACTCACAAGAGAGAGATGTCTGCTTTAAAGCATCATCGCGAGCCTCAGTGTCCTGATATGTGACACGCTGCCTGGGGTTCTGCTGAGTGGGGTCTTACTTAAAAAAGCCAGGCACACTCTACCATGGAGGCAGAGCACACGGGGCCTCAGAAGCCGTCCCAGCCCTCCCCCTCAGGCCCAGCCCGCCTCCAGCCCAGGACGCAGCAAACAGGGCAGCCAGTGGGAAACTGGTCTGTTTATTTTCAACTATGACTCTGAAAACAGTGTCAAGTTTATTAAAACAGCAACTGCCAGAAGATTTAAACAGTGCCTAAAATTTATTAGGTGAACATCAAACAGTGTATAAAGTTCTAAAGTTAGCTGAAACTGTGATTCTCCAGCCAGGATTAAAATCTCTCGCCTCTATCTTTGGCGTCTCACATGAATCTTGCCCAAACTAGGAGCAAAGTGAAATTGCACCTGCCTGTCCCGATTCCTAGCACTCATCGCAGGCCACCCCTGTGCAGGGTGCAGAATGAAGAACTTATTCAGGAATCCCACGAAACCAGTATTGAGCCAGAAAATTTTCCCTCCAAGGGTGCAGAGCCAGCACGGTGGCCGTGGCAAGGGTGGGCTTAAGTTTCATTCTGAGCAGGGTTCTGTCACTCACTAGGACAGAAGCAACCTTGCAACCAACCAGGAGGTGGATCCTGGAGAGGAAGAGTGCGGGGGGGGGGGGGGGGGCGGGGGGGGGAATGGAGGAAAGGGGAGTTCACCCACCCACGGGGTGGGGGTGTTGGAAATGAAAAGCAGGCAGGAGGGCCAATCACAGATCAAGGCGCGCAAACTTCTATTAAAAGGTCCTACTCAGGGCCTACTGGGGTCTAGACAGCACCTCCACGTGGGTATAGTAAGATCACTGCCCACAGGTGGAGCACACTTGGCAGTGGGCAGACCACTGTCTCTGTGTAAATTCATCAAACCTCCCTGCAGCCTCCTGGGGATTCAGCACGGATGGGGACCCCACTTGGTGGGGGGGAGACCTCAAAGGAAGATGCTTTCTCAGTACTGAAGACCCTGGCAGTGCTCAACCTCACCCTCTCTGGGCTACAGCCCCGGCTGGGCTAACGTGGGCGGAGTGCGCGCCGGTGCTGGGGTCCAGCTAACTCGGCAAGGCGTGGGAGTTCCGGGAAAGGGAAGAGGGTCGGGGAGCAGGGCCGCACGCAGGGACAGGCAGGCGGGCTGCGGGGCCCAGGGAGGAAGGGCGTTAGCTACCTGCGACAGACGCGGGCTCCGCATGCAGCTCAAGTCCGGGTTCAGCGCAGGGCTGGCTCTCCCAGGCCCAGTCCCCAGCCGGTCCGGGACGCTGCAGACCCGGTTCAGCGCTGCTACTCGCCGGCCGAGGAGGCTCCGCCTGGGCCGGGCTGCCACTTTCCACGCCTGCCCAGGCCGGCCACGCCTCCCGGGAGCAGCACCGCCAGGGCTAGGCGGCTTCGAGGCTCAAGGCCGATCTGCAGGCGCTCGCTTGGCAAAGGAAACGGAGACCCAGAACGGGGAAGCAGCTCCCCCAGGGCAGGATTCTCCCGGGCTCTCCATGCACCCGACTCCATCGCCATGTTTTCATGCCTTTCTGCATTGCTTCTCTCTCGTTCTTACCGCGGAGTAACTTTCCAGCTGTCACTTGTTTTCTCTGGTTCCTTTAAGATTTTATATATAAGCCTTATTAAAAATCCACATTTTTTGTCCTAAGACAAATACATTTTTCTTAGCATATAATATATATAGAGAGAGAGATAGAGAGAGAAAGAGAGAGAGAGAGAGAGAGAGAGAACAAGAAGTGGGAAAAATTACCTGTAATGCTATCTCTTGTCACCTAAAGGTAACTACTATTTTTTTTTTTTTTTTTTTGTCTTTTTCGTTTTTATCGGTACCAGGGATCGAACTCACGACTGCCTGCTTGCAAGGCAGGCGCTTATGCCGCTGAGCTAAATCCCCAGCCCCCAAGGTAACTACTATTAAGACTGGATGCTCATCTTGCTGGTCCTTTTCCCCGTGCATCTTTCAAAAACCTCTTTTAATAAAAATGAAATCATATAGTGGTTTCTATTCTAATGCTTAAAAAAAAAATAAACCATAGCACTATGAACACTATGTAAGGAGCTTTTGTGTCCTATTACCACAGAGAACATGCTCTGCAAGGCAGCCTACAAGTCCAATGTGGGAGTCCTGTTGGACAGCTGTTTTGTTTTGTTTTGGTTTGGTTTGGTTTTTGAGTTTAGTTTTGGTTTTGGTTTTTGGTTTTTCCAGACAGGGTCTCACTGTATGGCCCAAACTGACCTCAAAGTCAGCATCCTCTTGCCAAGTACAGGGGTCACACGCATGTGCCACCATTCCAGAGTGACGGTTGGACATTTGCTGGTCTCCCTCCGTCTTGTTGCTCTGAAGGATGCCAGGACGACCTCGAGAATACATCTCACTCATGCCGCCTTGGCCTGCTCTTCTGGTTGAAGAGGTCACGAGCCAGCAGCTGTGTTTCTCAGCTTCCTTTGCAGCTGGAGCTCTGGCTATGAACCGGGTGCTGCCAGTCAGCCAGACACTGAAGGAGTGAGATGAGGGTATTCACGTGCCCCTTTGGGGCATCAGTTACAGGACTGGCAGAAACAGGAGGGTTTGCAGCAGCATTCCTGTTCCTTTTTTCGTGTTTTGACAGTGCAGGGGTGGCTGTGGCTGGGGCTGCTTAACTCCAGCTGCCTGCTCCTTATGGCTTCCGGAATGTCTCTTGCACACATAACCTCAGGTGGTAACAAGGTTGGCAGGCCTTATCCACGCTGCTTGTGGGGATCGGTACGGGTCTTCCTCTGGCCCGTCTGCCGATTATGTGAACTCCCCGTTTCTCCGAGTTAAATCTCCACCTCTCCACACGTAACCTAACACATTAATTCTGTCCTAAGCTACATATCGAAGGAATCTTTTGCTGTCATTTTATCTTTAGGATGCTCACAGTACTTGCTGCAGAATTTAGCTCTTCATCGAGGCACTGTGTTCGCATCTTGTCACCCTGATGCCTATACTTTTTTTGGGTTCCCCAGCAACCACATTATTCTCTTGCAAAGCTCCCCCACAGCATGTGGACGGGCAATATCCCTAGGACACTTGGCATGGCATGCTGGGGTTGATCGACTTAGTGATAAATTGGGCAGTCATCAACAGGCCTTCTCTGTGGAGGGTGGTGGGTTCATGACAGAGCATGCATCAGCCCCAGGCAGCAGCAGACTGCCTTGGAAAGAGTTATGTCTGAAAGGCTGTGCAGACAAGAAGTGGTTCCCATAAGGAAAGGTCATGTTCTGGGGGTGTCCCTCCAGAACTCAAGGGACAAGGTATGTATGTCCTCCAAATCTCTGAAGTGCAAAAACAGGTTCTGTGTGGGTCCTTGAAGGCAGAGTCAGACCAGTGACAGGAGGAACACTGGCTGGCAAAGCAGAGTTGGCTAAGGATGGAAGGGACTGCCTTGAAAGGTAGTGAGCCCTTCATCACTGGAGGGGAACAAGGAAACAGAGACCACATTTGGCAGAATCCTGTAGAAAGAATATTAGATAAAGACTGAACTGCACAAATGGCTTCCAAGCTTATTAGCATGAGGAACTTTTAAAAAATTATAATCCCCTAGCTTTCGAAGCTTCAGATTATTAGGTACAGGTTTTAGCTCAGATTGTTTTAAAAATTCCTGATACACATCTGATGTGCAGCAGTGTTTGAGGAGCACTGGTTTAAGTAGCCTGGGGATTCTGTCATTCCCTGTCATTCCTGTTTCTATGTTGTGTGCTCTGCAGCTAGACTGTATCCGGGACACCCACCCGGGCACTTCATAAATGGTGACCAGCCGCAGAATTCCCCCAAACAGTTGTGTTGGAAGACATTTATAAAACATTTTTAAAACTTAAGAACCTTCCACATTGCTTCACATTTCTGGTTTGGAGAGAAGGATAACTATGCAGAGACTGAGGGAAAAATGCACCAATTAGTTTTGCAGAGGGTTGACTATTTTTCAGGAATGTTTTGGGTTCAACTTTTTAATTAGGGCAGAATAAGTCCAGCTTCTGTAACAGACATTGGGCTGGAGCCACTGAGTGTTTAGATAAGAGGATCGAAAGGCAAAGGGTTACATAACACAAGCCACAGTCCAGGCGTTCTAGAAGGGAAAGTCAACCCAGAATGTGTCTGGGCAGGGGTGGGGATTTGGGAAAGAAATGATTTTCATTCTTCAGTGTTTTAGAGTCTTACATGTCTAGGGAATTCCTGAAGCAGGTTCCAGGTCTGAGAATAATGAGCAGGTCACATAGATTCCAAACAAAAAGTCCTGCGAACTGGACCATTTATTCCATACTCTCTCTGCGTTTGAAGTAATCATGGAAGACTGGGTGACAACACTGAAGCATTTGAAAGGAATGGGCAGTTTAAATAGAAATGCATGTAAAAATCACACCAAAATCTGTATGTTTCCTCAGCTCCAAGGTAAACATTACATGCTTTGTACACGGCCAAAGCTTGAATGTTGTCAGACAAAAACAGCCTTTTTCCTTCTGTCCCTGTACCTCATGTTTAAAGTTAAGAAAACTAAGACCCAGAAAGTGAATGGGACCCCCCCAAGGTCACACAAGGGGTTCATCTCTGAGTTCAGACTGGAAGTCAGGCTCTTGCCCAGTCGCATAAATGGCGCTAGGATAGAAGCCGAGCACAGGGACAGATGTGTGGACATCTGTAAATGTGGATTCTGTCCACGGCTCAGAGAGGTGTCCTGTTCTGGAACTATGGGCAGCAGACACTAGTGATGGCTTCCCTGAAATCCTAGCATTTCCAGACTTCCTGAAAATGGCTTCCTGCCCTTGACTTCCCAGGCTCCCAACACTATATAAATCTAATTTCCTGTATTATATATCTTCCTGCTCAAAACACTAGAGTGGCTTCTGTTTTCCCAGTGGCACCCTGATAGCCCTGCAAAGACCTAGGTGAGAAAACCAGAAAGATGACAGGGCTAAGGGACAGGGAGAAGATAAGGTATTTCTAGTGTTTTCTAGTTATTTGCAGTACCAGGGATCAAACTCACGACTTCACACTTGCCAGGCAGGCACTTATGGCACTGAGCTAAATCCCCAGCCCCTGTAGTTTTTCTTAAAAATTTGGAAGCCCTGTTGTTTTGGTCAGTTTTGTTTTTTGGATTTTTTTTTCCTTTTCTTCCTTTTTTTTGTTTTTACTTGAGAAGAGTAATTTAGAGGAGAAAAGGTTTATTTTGGCTCACGGTTTCGGCTGGCTCTGTCTTTTGGGCTTGAGGTGAGGCAGAAATAGCACAGCAGGGGAAAGCCGCCCACCTCAGAGCAGCCAGGAAGTTAGGGGTGAGGTACAGACAGAAGGAAAGGCTGGTTTTGTCTGACAACATTCAGACTAACTCCTCCGGTGAGGCCCCGTTCCTAGAAGCCCACTCACCTCTGATTGATAAGCTTGGTGCTTTCATGAGGAAATCACTCTCAAAAGGCCCACCCCGAACACGCGAGCCTTTAGAGAACACTCTAGATCTAAACCATAATATCTCCCCGCTTCCTTTTGTTTCACACCATGTTTGCTGATTTTGATAGGTGGAATAATAACTCCCCGAAGATGCTTACATCCTAATAACTGGTACCCATCATGCCTTACATGACAATGGGGACATTACAGATATAGTCTTTTATATTGCTAAGCCCAGCATGATTGTAAGGGTCGTTATAAAAGGGAATCAGGAGTCAGAGAGGGAGAGTAGTGAAAGAAGAGGTTGGAAGGATGCAGCCACAAGACAAATAACATGAGCAGCTGGAAAAGACAGGGAACCATTTCTCCTGCAGTGTCTCCAACACTCGGGTATCAGCCCAAGGAGATACTATTTGAAATTCTGACCTCAGGAACTAAAAGCAATAAGTTTGTGGTGTTTTAAGCTACAGATTTTATGATAAGAGGCTAATAGTGATAGAAGAGGCAAACACTAGACCATGTAGAGCTGTGAAGATTTTTTTTTTTTTTTTTTTTTTTGGTACTGGGGATTAAATTTACAACCTTGTACCTGACAGGCTGGCACTTATGCCACTGAGCTAAATCCCTGGCCCGGCTGTGAAGATCTTGGAAGAGCTCTGATTCATGGGCCAGGTACTCTAGATAGGTCCGACATGGTCCCACCTGGAGGAGCTCAGGGGGTGGTGGGGAGGCTGACCCAAACCAGACTAACACGGTAAGCTCTGGGGCACCTGCTGATAGCACCAGGCTCTATGGAAGCAAAGGAAGGAGCCCTGGGTCCTCCTTGGACTCCTTGAGAGAAGATCGCCTTTCAGCTGACCCACCTATCGGCTGGAATCTGTTCAGACAAGTGGAATTAACTGGTGGTTCTCAGCTGTGGCTGTGCATTAGCCTCCCCTGGAGAACTTTCAGAAACGACACCTGAGCCACACATCTGATCCACAGGGAGGGATCCTGGGTATTGATCCTGATTTCTTCTTCTTGTATTATTTTTGAGTTTCTCTGTGGATTCCAATGTGCAGTGAGGTTCTAACATAAGAGAAAGCTCCAAGTAAAAGTGGCTTAAATGAGACAGAAGTGTATTTTTCTCTCATTTAAAAGTCCAGTGATGGGCTGTCCAAGCTGGGGTAGGGTATCTGTCCATCTTCGCTTAAAGAACAGAGGACCCCTCTCCTGTAGAATTTAGAGGAAGATGAGGAAGTTGACTCCATCAAGTTTGTGACCTGAAAAGATCATCCTGATCGCAGAGTGGCTCTCTTCTCATTTCCTGGAAAGAAATAGGATTCCATGTTAGGGCACCAAGAGCAGCAGGTGTTGATAATTACTAACGCTGGGCACTGACAGGCACAGAGGTTCATTATTACCACCTCTCTATTTCTGTGGGTACCTAAACTTGTTCATAAGAAGTTTAGGAACAGCTTATGTTAGCAAATAAGTGGAATGTATCTTCCTGGTTCAGAGACTGTGTGGATGGACCTTTATGACTCTCCTGATTGGTCCCTAGGAGTCCTTGCTGTTATCTAAATGCAAAGTTAATTATTGGACAGCAGTAAACAAATTGGGACGGGTTGCACAAAGGGTAGGAAGTTGGGTGTCAGGAACTGGGTCCTAGTACCTATTCAGGCTCTCTATGTAACTCTAGGTGACTCCTCCTTCTCAGCCATCTTTGGCATTATAAAGGAAGGTGAAAGCCACCAAAGGCCCAGTCCCCCCAACTTAGTACAGTCATTAAATAATGTTTATTGAGCAGAGACCTTGTACCTACAATTCGGGTGCCGAATGCACACTGTTAGTGAAACCCAGGTGATTGATTTTCCCTCACAGCCCTGGGCAGGAGGCACTGGTTGAAGTTCAAAGTGCTGGCGGGGATCCAGTGTATCTTCACACGTTTGATGACTGACTGAGCTTGACATGCTGCCTGGCTGCTGAGGACAGGCGGATTTGCCAAGGAACACACTAGTGCCTCTTTGGATCCAGGGGGCTTTACGTGGGGTGACTGAGCAGAGGAGGGGAACAGAAGTGAACAGAAGCTTGGAATGTTCTTGCCTTCAGTCCTCTCTCTCTGCCAGCTCCCTCTGATTCAAAGACCGTGTCCTCAGCACAGCCTGTCCGCAGGCCCAGCAGTCCCCACGTTAGCAGGCATCTGCAATCTACCATTCCTTCTTCACTCAGTTCCCGTCACCAGTGGCCGGCCTAGGCCAGGCCCTGTGCCAGGGGCTAGCAGTACAGACTCCCTGCCCATCCTCAGCTGGCTCGCAGACGAGGAGGCAGATAGACACAGCAACTGGCAAGTTTCTTTCCTGCAGTGCAGAAAGCCCAGTGATGCAAGAGAGCAGACAAACAGGAAATGAGAACAAAAGACAAAATGAAGCCAGGGGAAAAGAAACTCCCCGGGAGAGGTGAGGATGGAGCCAAGTCCAGAGTGCTGCCTTGAGGAGAAATGGCTTTTCTGGAAGACAGAGCTACAGGTGCAGGAGCCAGAGGTGAGAAGAGCTGGGGGCTTGGGGAGTGGGGAGGTGAACAGCTTCTTGTGGCTGGGGCCTGTGGTATGATGGGCAAGGGAGAGAGCCCATCAGGAGCAGTGATGGGGACAGGTCACAGAGGCCGGATAGGTTCGGCTGAGCGTTTGGATGTTGTCCTAGGAGGCACACAGGGATGCTAAGACAGGAGGGTGACTTAGATGGCAATCACTTTTCTCCAGATTTCATGGCTGAGAGTGAGAGATTAGGTTCGTCTCTGAGTAGCAGAGGTCTAATAAAAACAACTTACTTCAGATGATAGTTGATTTGTACAAATAAGTAAAAGAAGCGGTCAAGGGAAGGACATGCACACTTTCCAGTTCATCATTCCATCCTGCCTGGCAGTGGGTACCGTTGCTGTAATTCAGAATGACAGCTGCCACACCCACAGCCAGCAGCAGGATGGGAGGGGGGTGAAGACAAGAGGGGAAAATGTGCTTTAAAGGAAGAAGCCCCAAAGGCTCCTACTCATACACCATTGGCCAGGACAGATTACAAGGGACATGTCACTGCAAGGAAGGCTCCGAGATGTAGTGCAAAGACATTAGAGCTTCTGTTTTGGTGGCTCAGCAGGAAAATAGACCCTGGGAAATCAATCACAGGGGACTCTGCCCAGACCTTCCACCCTGCCGTTGGAAATGGCTCTATTCCTAGCTGCACCCTCTAGTTCCTCCTCAAGCTGGTCTTGGTTTAGGTGTCATGGAGCAGAAGATTCTTGTCAACGTTGGATCATAACTAAGAGGTGTTGCAGCCTGTGCAGGAGCCCGGCTGTAATATTTGAAACACTAATGAATATCTGGCCCTGACCGGTCAGTGAGCAGCAGCCTGGTCCTCGAGTTCCCCATGCTGCCTCAGGCATGCTCCTTTATTAGCCATGCATGCCGTGAGTAGGTTTGAAGGGGGGGCGGGTCCCAGGGCAGAGGCTGAAGAGCCAGGGTGGAGGCAGGCACCTGGGGACGGGCATCAGCTTTTTATAAACTGGAAGGCAAATGTTTTGTGTTAAGGAAATCACAAGGCTGTCCTGCGGTTTTCGGCTGAAATAAATCCTGCCCTGTCTTTTGTGACTTGAGCCAAGAGGGTTCATCACACTGATAGGAAGAACATGAATAAACAGCATGATCTCCCTGAATCTACTCCAGAGAAAACTGAGCTCCTGGGAAGGGCACACCTGCCTCTAGCCAGGCAGGGAGATCTGGGAGGGCAGGGGAGGGGCAACCCATGAGAAACCAGACCAGCTGAGGCCTTGGAGGTGCAATTACTGCCTGCTGGGGACAGCTCAGCGCCTTTAATAGACATGTTTATTTAACAGGCTTCCTGGCTCTCAACACCCAGAGGGAAAGAAAAGACCACTCATTCTTGTTTTCCAGCACAAGGAAACCCAAAGAGGAGGCATAGTGAGAGAGCAGAAGCATCCTGCAGCTGATGGAGGCTGGCAGCTGACACTGCGGTTCACCAAAAGGCCCATTTGAATGACAGAGGGGGACAAAGATGCTATGTGCTGAATGAAGCTGTAAATTCACTGACCTGAACCCTCTGCATCAGTCTTAGAAGCAACACCTTCTTAGAATCAATTTCCCAGAGCAAGGGGCTGGGAGAGAGCGGCCCTCCTCCACATGAATAGGCCCTGGGCCCCACAAGACCTGGGGCTGGCCCTGTTTGCTCCCCTGATCTCTGTCTGCTATCTGGGCTCCAAGCCCCCTTCCTGTACCTGGCAGCAGAATAGTATCAGCACCACTGAGCACAGAAGAGGAAAGCAATTCTTGCCCCAAACTCAAAGCCACCCTTTTAGGAAGCCCTACAGTAAATCAGGTTCTTCCTCTTTCTGTGGGAAACCTAAGGAAGATTTTAAAATTCTGATCTGCTTGTCAGAGCAGAACGCACATAGATGGATAATGTCTTGTGACCTTAAGGCCAGCTAGGAGCAAGGTACCTATCAAGGTGACATCCCAAGCCCCTGTTGTAAAACAGACTGTGAGTCTGGCTTGGAACCTAGCAGACAAAGCACAAGGGACCCAGACTTGGGACTAGACCTGGCCGTATGTCTCCATGAGGTTTGAGATGTCTGATCTCAGTGTGCCTGAAAACATCACCGCGTTAGTTGCTTACTAAAATGTCTTATTCACTCAGAAATTTAAGAGGGGATGCAGCCGAAGTCATAGAAAGACGATTCCTTTGTGTGGAATGAAAACTGATGAGATGAGTATTGACTGACTGTTTACTGTGTGCTAAGCACTTTACATGTATTACTTTATTAAAGGCTCATTGTATCCATGAGAGGGTGACCGACCTGGGAGTTCTTTCTTAGAGGAGGACCTGAGATTCAGGAAGGTTCTGGTGGCACTAGGCCCTGGGTACAAGCTAGAATCATCTGGGGGTTTTCATAAAGCTACCAATGCCCAAGTCCCACCCAGATGAGCTGAATGGAGTCTCTGGGGAGGGCACCTGACTATGCATGTGGTGTGAAGGGTCCCCCTCTCCCAGCTCTGTGCTTCAAATGTGCAGCCAGAGATGAGGAGATGGGGCTGCTCAATTTGCTCAAGGTCACACAGATTATTGGCTGGTGGGCTCTAACTCAGGAGACCTAACTCTGTTTCATCCATCTGAACATGGTGGAAACGGAGTCGGTTAATATTAGTTCGAGCCAAATGATAATTTGTTTTTAAAAAAATAAATAATGGCTTTGGTGTCAAATCATTTGTCCCCTTAACAACAAAGGTTTATGAGGCTTGAAACCTCTGACATATACTGCTCTGGAACCAGAGGTGTTATTCATTCCTTCTCCAAACTTTCCTGATTGTGCCAATCAGGAAACTGTATTTGTTTGCTGTTGCCACTGTAACAAATCACAAAACAACACATCTATTCTGCTATAAATCTATTCTTCTAGAAATCAGAAGTCTGAAATCAGTTCTACTGGGCCAACACCAAAGCCTGGGCTGGGCTGTGTTCCTTCCTAAGACGTAGGAAAGAATTCATCTCCTTGCTTTTTCCAGCTGTGACAGCTGCTTTTCTTGCATTCTTCTGCTTATGGGAGCTCCCTCCACCTTCAAAGCTAGCAGCATAGCTTGCGGCTGGAGTATCACACAGCTTTAGCTCTTTGTGTCAGCTCTCCTTCGCCTCCTCTTCTTAAGGACTCTTGTGTGATTGCACGGAGGGCCCATTGGAGAATCCAGGAATACCTCTCCATTTTCAGATCTTTCTCACCATCTCTGCAAAGACCCCTTTCCTATCTAAGGTCACCTTCACAGGGTTCAGGGGTCAGGACGTGAGTATCTTTGTGAGCCATTCCTCAGCTTGCCTCATATAGCAAATGACATTCCTGTTCATGTTTCTGCCCAAACCATGTGTGATCTGGCTGCAGCAACTGAACTGAAAACATGGTGGACAGCCAGGTGGGGTCAGAATGCTCAGTGCTTCCTATTTTCCAGGGACACAGAAAATCAAGATAATAAGGAACAGTCTTCCTTTCTTTTCCTTTTAATTCTTTAGCTGCTCCTTAAAATCTTTTTGTTACAATGCAATGGACATACGGAGAAGTTCACCCAGCATCACTAAGTGCACAGCTGAGGACTGGTCCTGAGATGGGCATGCCTGGGAAAGCAGCATCCAGAGAGAGAGAGGTGGATTGCAGCCCCCAGAAGGGCCTGGCTCAGGCACCCTTGCAGGCACACCCTCCCTAAGGGCAATAGGCTCCCTCATTCCTGACACCATCAGGCAGGCTAGCTTGGTTTTGAAGTTCGTATAAATGGAACCCTATAAGTGGGAGTCATAGGGTTTGCATGTGGTTTATATGCTCCACCTCATGTGAGATGCAGTCACACGGTAGCTGTTGCTCTGTTATGTAGAGCAGAGCTGCTTTGGGTGCCCGCCCCTGAGCCTATTTATCCACTCTACTGTTGATGGGCATGTGGGCCTCTTTCGGGGTTTAGTCTATTATAAATCGCGCTGCCTGAACAGTTTTAAACGTGTCATTCATTTCCCAAACCATGCATGCATTTCTGATGGGTGTTTACCTATGAATGGAAATGCTGGCTCACTGGACAAGCATGGCGTGAACTTTTAGTAGAAGGTATCTATCAGTTTTTTAAAGTGGTGTTTCCATTTACACCCTAATAGCTATAGATGAGTTTTGTGCCATGTCTTTCCATGTTTAAATTCTAACTATAAATTTTTAAACACCCTTTGCAGGCCAAAGATCCAGCTCTTCTCTGTGGCTGCCCATTTTCAATCTCTCTAGTGTGAACAATCCCAATGACATAGCAGCCAAATTAGGCCGCAGCATTTCTGACAGCATTTTTCCTGGAAAGCACAGGGTTGGCTGCAGCAATTTCTCTACTCCTACCCGGTATCCGCCATCCTGCATAACAGGCCCCACCCTCCTGATTTACCTCCCCAGAACAGCGTAAGGATCTGTGAAAACACTGGAGAAGGAAACAGAGCTGTAAATATACAATAATCACGAGACTCATCAGCATTAGAGCCCAGGGAGCAACTCTACTCAGGGACCCCCTGCCCTGCTCTAATCCTCATCCATCTGGCTGCTCGCCCCTCTGTGCTGTAAACACTTCCCAGGCGCATACAGTGGGCCAGGCCCTGTCTAGAGCCTGGAAGAGTTCCTGGACGTACTTCCCTCTGGACACAAGGAAATTGAGGCCAAGAGACAGAAAAGATTTTGCTCAGAGCTGGGCATGATGGTGCATGCTTATAATCCCAGCTGTTTGGGAGACTGAGACAGGAGGATTGCAAATCTGAGGCCAGGTTGGGGAATTTAGCGAGATACTTATATAACAGGAAAATAAATAGCTAAGTAAATAAATAAATACCTGAGGGTGTAGTTCAGTGGTAGAGTGCTGCTGGATTTGATGGCCAGTACCACAAAAAGAAAAAGGACTCTGTCAGGTCACTGTGCTCCCAGAACTGCATTGGGGCCGAAACCAAGTGTTCATATCTCAGCCCAGGGCAACCTTCTGTGCCCATGAGGCCCAGAGTCTCACAAAGGAGCCCCTCTGTCCCTAGCCACTGCCATAGCCTGACATCCCATGCCCCCTTACCACTTGCCTCAATAGCTCTTCTCTCTCCTGGCAGGGATGGGGAGGGACACCCCATCAGGTCCCTAGTCCTGAGCCTTCTTGAGCCTGTCAGACTGGAAGGCCCATGTGGCTGGAAGAAAAGGAGGGAGCCACTGTGACAGAGAGGAAGACAGCAGTGAGGGTTGGACAGCTCCTCTCCATGAACTGGGGACAGACCCCAACTTTGGAGTCACAGAGCTCAAATACTAACTGCACTGGTGACCTCAGTGGGGCTGTAACCTCCTAAGCTTCAGTTTATTCATCTGTAAGACAGCAGCAAACCTGCCGTGAGGTCTGCAGTGAGTTCTCGGCAGGATGATGGCAGCGCTGAGCCGGGCTCCTGACGGGGGCTTGAAAGGGTGGGGCTCCTTTCCTTTGTCCTGCCCACCCTCTGCGCCCAGGCTCAGGTGTGTTGGCCCCTGTCATGCTAGACATGTTGGTGACTCCCTCCTAAGCCCCAGCCCCATGTTCCCTGGCTGCCGGGGGCTTTGGAAGCTGAGGGTTGGCAGTGGGACAGGGCCTGGCTGTAGGCTCTGGGGTGCCAGGCAGGGTGGCAGCGGGAAGCAGCCTGCCTCAGGGAGGTTGGCTCCATCCCCTGCTTTGTTTAGCTGCAGCACTCTCCTGCTCCTAGGCGCAAACTTGAGTCTGATGTGACTGCCTGACAGCTGGTGGCAAGTGTGGGGAAATGAGCTGAGGTGGTGGGCGCTTGGCTGTGTGTGACAGCTCGACCCCGTCTCTGCTGGGAGTGCATTTGTTCACTCACTCAGTCATCCAGCAAATAGCTACCAGACAGCACTGTCCCCCAGGCCCAAGCCAGCACTGGGCTCTGACTAGTGAGCAAGACTGTCACAGTCCCACTCCTCCCTGTGCAGAAGGCTATGGTGTGGTCAGTGTAGAGGAGAGGCCACTGCCCTAGTAGACAAAGCATACAGGCCGGTGGGAAGGTGACAGGCACCCTCAGGGATGTCCTCAAGATGATTAATGAGCATTCATCAGTGAGAAAAGGCAATGGATTTAAGGGTTTCTGCCAGTCCATGCATTCCATATTGTTACCTCACTCTCTACAGAGAGAATAAATTCAGTATTATGTATAAAATAAATTACATGCTTAGTTAGATAAATATTTATACATAACTTACATTTAAACATCACATAAAAATGCTTTTTAAAAAATTTTTTGGTCTTTTTGAGACAGAGTTTTGCTATGCAGTTCAGGCTGGCCTTGAACTCATGATTCAGCCCAGGCTGGCCTCGAACTCACAGTGCCTCAGCCTCCCCAGTGCTGGTATTACAGGGATGCGGCACCATACCTGGCTAAAGTGAAATAATTTAGAAGGAAAAACTTCGTTTTTGTGCCTTTAACAGCACTTTTTCTCCACAAGGGGCGCTACCTTTTCATTTTGCATGCGATCCCACACAAATGCAGCTGAGCCCTTTGGGGGCCCAAAGGAGGGAAGTGTGGAGTAGGGGGTACAGGGTTGGATCTCCCTGCCCAGGCTGGGGGGTTAATGGACACCCTTGTTGGCAAGACGTTCTAACAAAATGTCCCTCCGGCATAAAGACAAAAACTGTTTCAGTGTCTCTGTCCTGGGATGAAGAGCAAAGCAGGAAGTTCGCTATGAAGCCCCATCAGGGTGCACTGTCTTCATGGCCCCGGGGACACTGAGCTCAGGAGGCCACAGCCTTACCCAGGGATGCCGCTGTCATGCCTGGAGGAAAATGAGTCCAGGAGGAAGTCCCAGTCCACGCAGAAGCTGCAGAGGGCAGCCTGCAATCCCAGGGCTCCTGTCCAGCCAGGCCCGAGAGGACACATAGGGCGGTCACTGTGCAGGTGTGTCAGGGTCCCTACCCCTCCCATCCTTCTTCTTCCCTCCCTCTTCCTCCTGGTCCTCTCTCTCAGCTCCTCCCATCCTCTACACACACACACACACACACACACACACGCACACGCACGCACACACACACACTCTCTTCCTGCTTTTACTCCTTCCTCTCCCATTCTTCCCTGACTTCCTTCTGCCTCCTTTTCCTCTTCATTCCCTCTTTGCTCCCCTCTTCTTCCTCTCCTCTTGCTCCTCTGCCCCACCTATTAATGTAGAGTGAAGGACCAGACCTGTAGCCAGGCTCCAGTTGTGACATGGGTTGCCATCATCTTGCCAAGCGTCCCAGAGAGGCCTAGTGGGCTGGCAGTGGCGGGACTGGCCA